TGAGATCCTCCGAAGTCTCTCTTTTCTTTTCTTATTGCGTAGCAGTTCGTTGATATGCCCAGAAGCTCGACTCCTACTAGAATTAGAACTAAAATTACAAGCCGATACAATAGGAGTGTTGTGCATCTAGTGACATAACAGACACTAGTGCTTCTACTAAGCTGTCAATCTCTTCTTTTTGGTACATGTTAGATCTGTTAAGTGTTTCACATGACCTCTAGGTATTCTTCTTGTGACGGCAAAATCAATCAGGTCAGGCTTCTTATTGGGTTCGGTTGGCCAATATGTAGGCTTACCTGGAAAGATAAGGTTAAGCTTGTTTCTTAGTGTTATTATAGCGTTGTACAGCTGACTTCCTTTAGAGTTAGTGAGTCGAAAGCCCAAATGGGGGTGTTTCGCAGCCGCTATAAAACGGTCACCTAATAGGTCAAAGAACTGTACACATTCATCTTCGGAAATGGAAAAACGTGGTTAGGTTTAAACCACTTTGGGTATCGATATGTATTGATGTAACTTGTGAATAGGTTGCTGCGAATGATAGCAACTCATAATGCCTGATGCGTTTCTTGATCAGTATGCCAGTGCCGCCAAGAGCCTCATAAGAATTGTTTGTTTTATAAAATGAAAATGGGTTTTGTTTGTTAGATGAGTCTCTGCCGTTCGCATTCCAGAAACATTTGTACATAGGCTCGGTAGGTCTTTTATTCCATTCACAAATTACTTTTAATAAAATAGCATTCATGTTAGAATACTTGGTTTTTTGGATTGCGATTACCAACATTCGACTGGCGTGTTAAAAACCTCACATACAAATAACCCGGCAACAACAATACCAGGCTTTAGAACCAAACGCGGCGTTTTGAAAAAATTCCGGCTCGCTCAGTATAATATGTATGTATGCAATTGCCAACTGCCGTATAAGCCAAGCAGTTCCAAAATTGCTTTGTCCTAGAGCTGGGAAACAATCGATGGCACTATCGAGGTATCGAATTTTTTCCTTTCTGAGTCACCATCGATAGTTTTTTTGACACTATCGATAGTGCTGGGCATTTCTTTCATTACTGACATTAGCACAAAATATGAGGTTTGGTTGCAAGATTTTGGGTAAGAGAAATGAAAAAATTAATGCCTCTAATTTAAAAAACTTCGTTCCAAAATTTCTGTGTTCCCGCAACCTCAAAGGAGTCAGAGCTTATGTTCAGCAAAGTTGGATTCATTATAAGTAACCGGGGTTTCGCTTAAGGCGAATAATGCAGACATTTTGCTATTTTAACAAAGAAATGCATGAATAGGGTAAGATGGGGTAAAACCGCCGGTGGGTAAAACCGCCATTTGGATTTCAAATTCAAATGAAGCGCCGAAACGATTAACCGTTGATAATGTAGATTATGATGGATAATGCGCGGTTTTTGAAGTCGGTCGGAATACTGCAGCTTTATCGTGACAATTTCTATAGCGCCATTTTTGTTTCACTCGACGGCGCCAAAAATTTTGTTATAAAGATTGCTCAATCAAGTGTAAGTGAACGGCTTAAAAAAAAGAGGTAAGTGTCCGCTTATAGTACGAACCTTGATACTGATGTACATGTATCAAGTTAGCCAATATTTCCAAAATTGTACAAACTAAGTGACCTCGAAAAAAAATTGGCGCGTGGGGTAAAAACGCCGCGAAAAGGTGGGGTAAAAACGCCACACAATTTGATAACGGAAAAACTCGTTTTAATCGAGAATGAATGTCTTTCAGCATCATGCCTCGCAATTACGCAAGAAAAAAACCAAAAATTGATGAAAATATATTTCAACGGGCAATCGAGGAAGTTCAGGAGGGCAGCAAGGTGGCAGTTGTTGCCGAAAAATATGGGATTCCCCGAGAGACTTTGCGAGACCGAGTCAACAAAGCGCACAACGCTTATTATGGCCATCATCCCCAGGTAAAGTGTCAAATATTCACAATTTTTGTCAATTGAAACAATATGTAATGTCATGATTTTGAATTCAATTCAATTTAAAAATAACAGCCTTTCTTTTGAACAGATAATTGCAAACAGTTTTGTATAAAATGATTTTATCTTTTAAATAAGAATATTTTAATTTTCAGTTTCAAACCTTTGTTAATGCGACATTTCTTCTTAGTTTAAAACTATTTTAACCACGTAATTCTTATTTTACAGATTTTTACTGACGACCAAGAGGCATCGCTTGAGAAATATCTCATAAAAGCATCAGCTATCAGCTATCAGTTTCATGTTTTCTCTCGGACAGCAGTTCGGCGACTTGCTTATGACTTCGCTTCAATTTCTTATTTTTACTTTTATATATTAGGTATATTCGTTGTAACATGTAATAACCATTTGAATTGAATAAAAATTTTTCTCAGAAGTTATTGACAAACTTTTCTTCTGAACGATCACAATTCTTTTAAAATAAAAGCTACATAAAAACTTTCTAAATGAATTATGTAGCCAAGGGATTAAACTTTCAGAAATATGGTTTGGTTCATTGATCATTTTATAAATGAAAGCTTGACATCGTCAAATATTCATTTTTGGCGGTGTTTGGTCATGCCACAGCCCAAATCCAATGATTATATTTAAATCGTAACGTAAAACTAAACTCTTGATGTTTGCTTTGTTTTGCTATTTGCCCTGCGCGGCAACACTCTTTAATTGTCATTGCTAACTCCCTTTTTTTGCACTTTTTCGCTTATCGCTTCCTGGCCTTAGTCCACGGCAAGCTTCATCACAGTTCGATTTTGGTACTCGCTTGCACAAGGCACGATCGCTGATCGCCTGCCAACTCTCGGCTTATATACTTTTCGTCTAAAGCACAGACAATTCGGTCTGCCTGCTAAAAAACCTTCGCGACTAAAACGGCACAGACAAATCGGTCTGCCTGCCCATCATACTTTCGGCTATTTAAAGGCACAGACAAATCGGTCTGCCTGCCTAATTCCTAATCCAAATCTATAACAAACCAATAACTTTGTGAATTTAAGGCCTTGGTGCCAGGTTAATAAATAAGTGCATATTTAAGTCGAAATTTGTGCGTTATTATTTTACTTGGGCACCACCAAAGGTAATGGTCTTTGAAAAAGCTCAATGACCCAACAGGCGGTTTTACCCCATCTTACCCTACAACATTTTTTTTTTAATTCATATAAAAATGACTTTAATTTTGTTAATTTTTATTGAAATATCTTATGTTTTATGTTAAGGATATGATAGAATAGTTTTGACCTTTTTATTTCTGTTTGTAGTAATTTATACAGAACTAAAAACCTAAAAAATTAAATAAATATGCAAAATGCTATCGATACTATCCAATTTTCGCTATGAAAACATCGAAACTATCGAATGGCGCGACCATCGATAGTTTCCCAGCTCTACTTTGTCCTAGATGAAATGTGCGACGACGCACTGACGACAGCGGTGGTAGGTACTATTTCAAGAGACATTTTGTATGAAATTCAAGTTTTCGACATACGAGGTATGTTCAAAAAGTATCGCGAATTTTAAATTTTCGCGGGTTACCTAGTATCGAATTTCGATTTTTTAATGGCGTTATGTTGGTACTCATGTCTATCACTTATGCCGACAAGCTCGGCCATTTTGAATGTTCACTTAATTGTTGACAGCTGCTTTGCTTGCACGTGTTTTGGATCGTCTTCGATTTTTACCTATTCAAAAAAATAGATCAAAGAACCTGTATCATATTTTGTGTGATAAACGAAATGAAGTGCGTGGCTGCATTCCGAATGTTGACTGTGGCATAGGGAGAAGCTACCTTGGACCGAAGCAACGTTTATCGGTGGTAAAAAATGTTCTCAGAAGGCCGAGAAGATGTGAACGACGAAGAGCGTACCGGACGCCCGAGCACTTCGAATGTGAAAGTTTTGCTGACAGTTTTCTTCGATTGCAGGGGCGTGGTGCATCATGAGTTCTTGCCACAGGGAAGAACCGTCAATAAGGAGTATTACCTGCAAGTTATGCGGAATTTGCGCGAAGCAATCCGCCAGAAACGCCCGGATTTGTGGAAGAACAAAAATCTGCTTTTGCACCACGATAACGCCCCTGCTCACACATCGTTACTTGTGTGCGACTTTTTGGCCAAAAACAACACACTAATGATGCCGCAGCCACCGTATTCCCCAGATCTGGCCGCCTGTGACTTTTTCTTGTTTTCTAAAGGGGCCGTCCATAAACCTCGTGACGCTAATTTTTGGCTTTTTTGACACCCTCCCCCCTATGTGACGCATCACATATACAAATTACAACCTCCTTACAACAAAGCGTGACTCTCTGATGAACCCCCCCACCCCCCTAGCAGGTTTATGGACGGCCCCAAACTGAAGAGGCCCATGAAAGGACGACGTTACGCTACGCGGGACGAGATAAAGACGGCATCGAAGGAGTAGCTGAACAAGATAAAAAAAATGATTTTTTGAAGTTCTTCGAAGATTGGAAAAACCGTTGGCACAAGTGCATAAGATCTCATGGGTATTACTTTGAAGGGGACAAAATTGATATTCATAAATAAATATATAATTTTTGAAAAAACACAAAATTCGCGATACTTTTTGAACACACCTCGTATTTCATTCTCTCATATGGGAGCTATCCGATATAGTCGGCCGATCCTGCCCGATTCGGCCCGTTCCAACTTATATACTGCGTGCAATAACTACACAACTTTTGGTAAAGTTTCAGCAAGATTGCTTTAAAACTGAGAGACTAGTTTGCGTAGAAACGCACAGAAGGACATACAGAAAAACGGACAGACGTGGAATCGTGTTTCAATTCAGATCGGGATGCTGATCAAGAATATACATATATACTTTATGGGGTCTGAGGTGTCTCCTTCAATGCGTTGCAAATTTCTGACTGAAATTATAATACCCTTTGCTCTGCAAAGGTATAAAAGCAGTACAGAAACAGTTAAGAGAGCACAAGATTTAGCGATCATAAATTCATTTACCTTAAAATCTTAAAAATGTATTTATAGCTGAAGCCGACGATTGGGGAACTGTTTATCCTAATATGTCTGGATATGGAGCCCTGGGCATGATCGTCAACCACAAAGTGGATATCTGCATTGGCGCAATGTACTCATGGTCTGAAGACTATTCGTATTTAGATCTCTCAATGTATCTTGTACGGTCTGGAATAACGTGTCTCGTTCCAGCTCCTTTAAGGCAAGCCAGTTGGTACCTTCCCCTTGAGCCTTTTCAAAAGCAACTATGGGCTGCAGTTCTAATATGCCTGTGTATAGAAACTGTAGGATTGGTGTTGGCCTATAAAAGTGAGCAGGAATTGTACGTAGCGCCAAGTTATCGTGACGGCTGGTGGACTTGTACAAAGTCGGCGCTATCTACAACATTTAAGCTTTTTATATCACAATCAGGAAACAGCAAAGCAACGTCATTTACCATCCGCGTGTTGCTTTTTGCGTGCTTTCTTAACGACTTAATTATAACCAGCATATATAGCGGAGGCCTGGCGAGTATATTGACAATTCCCAGCTTAGAAGAGGCGGCGGATACAGTCCAACGCTTGCGGTCGCACCGATTAGAATGGGCGGCCAACTCCGAGGCTTGGGTTTCAGCCATACGCGGTTCGGAAGAGGTAAGTGCATTATGAAAATAAATAAATACACATAACAATTATTTTTCCCTTTAGTCATTTGTACAGGACTTGCTGTTAAATTTTCATATCTATAGCGACGAACAGTTACTTCGACTCGCCCTGGAGCAGCGGGTGCACATTGGGTTTACTGTTGAACGTCTGCCATTTGGTAAAAAATTGACCTCTAACAAAAAGCTTCTTATTATTTGAATGGTCTTATAGGTCATTTTGCTATTGGAAACTATTTGGTACCACAAGCCATTGACCAGCTCGTAATTATGCAAGAGGATCTATACTTTCAGTATACGGTGGCTTTTGTTCCCAGGTTGTGGCCCCTCCTCGAGAATTTTAATACCCTGATATACAACTGGCATTCGTCTGGTTTTGATAAGTATTGGGAGTATCGTGTAGTAGCCGATAACTTAAATCTGAAAATACAGCAACAAGTCGATGAAACCAAGTCCGGAGCCAAAGAAAACATCGGACCGGTTATGCTTGGAATGTCTAACTTTGCCGGTTTTATACTTGTCTGGCTGTTAGGATCTGCTCTAGCCACGTTTGTGTTTTTGGTGGAGTTGCTTTGTCAAAAAATATAATTTTTTTTGACGTTTACTTTCGTTAGGATTGGGTAATTTGGCACACATTAGTTTTAACACTTACAAAACTGTTTTGGTATTCTATGACCTTGGAAGGCGTACTGGTATATATAGCTCTAAAATATTTACAATGCTGTCCACTGCACGCTGATTAATTAAAATAAATGTAGTCACATTTGATCGTCTATCTTTTTGGTGCTTAACTTACAAATGCAATCCTCTCATTTAGGCTACCGTCGAGTCAGCGCAATTTACTGAACTTACAATAAATTGAAAATCAATTTAGTTATTTGCTTTACGGGCTTTTGCTAAAAATGGGTTAGGGGTAACTTGGGGGCCTAAGCATTAAAAAAAATAGTCGCGGAAAGCGTAAATTTTAATTATTTATAAAAAAAAAAATAAACATCAAAATTCAAACATTCTTTTGGCAATGAATTTATTCAGAGCTCGCAAATAACAGTCGACCGTTTCTCGTTGTCTGCTAATAACAGTCTTTTCCTGACCCTTTACGAAAAGTCTCAGAGAACGACCGATTTATAGGTTCGTGAATGGGTTCGGTTGCGCTCAGACCGAAACCGTTTTTTTCTATTCGGTTTTGTTCTGGTTGCTCCAGGACCGTTTTGTCGTTTTCAGTGAAGCAAAAGGTCTTTTGCATATGTATTGGTATACAGTGCGCGTATAGGCATGCAAATCGTTAAACATCGGTTTTGCGGGCGAAATATATTAATCGTCTTCGTGAATTGAACGTGTGTGTGTAAATGCCAAGACCGTTTGCATTGAGTTTTTCGGTCAATCGGTCTGTTGGTGACTCTCATTGTGCGAGCGTTTCTCGATCTGCTCCTTACGCACTGCTCATTGAAAGACCGAAATGCAAAGAGCTCAACGAAAAGTGCTCAACAGAAAACACAAATGATGACAGCAAGGGGCTCTTGCTCAGAGCGAGAGCGAGACAGTATGAACTTTTTCGGTTGTGCTCGCACCGAGAGCACTAGATGAAAAACGGTCAACTGTTATTTGCGAGCTCTGAATTTATTTCATGTCCGTTAAAAAGGGCTACCTTGGGGCCGAAACAATTATAAAGTAGTGTCGTAAAGCGTGATTTTTAATTATTTATTAAAAAAAAAAAAAAAAAAAAAACATGAAAATTCAAACTATTTTTAGCAATGAATTTATTTCACATCACGGACGTGATCTTCTAGATCCAAAAGTTCGAGTTCTTCGGAATGATCCTGGGATTGTATGGATTTGAAAGGTCAGCATAGGCGCAAATTCCGTGAGTTCTCGATTTTCGTGAGTGATATGCTTGTCTTCCCGTTGTGCAGTACCGTTAGGTTGGCGTCATCGTATAAAAAATGTGTCTCCTCTAAAATTTTAGTTTCTTCCAAAAAAATAAATGATGTTTTTTCCTGGTCTTTCTGGTCTCTCCTCAGAAAACATCCTGGGGCTCATCACTACCTGTGCTAAAAGCTATTGAAATCGTCTCTCCCGGAATCGACTCCAACTGCAACAATTACCTAAATTTTCTATGTTTTTTCTATGTCCGACATGGTCAAATTATTTTATTTCTTTGCTTCTTTAATGGTTGTTCTCGCGGTAATAATTGCTACTTTTACGAAAAAATAATTACAAATCACGCTTTACGACACTTTATTATGAATATTTTGGCCCCTGGGTAGCCCTTTTTAACGGACGAGAAATAAATTCATTGACAAAAAAATGTTTGAATTTCCATGTTTATTTTTTTTTTTAATAAATAATTAAAAATTACGCTTTACGACACTCTTTTAGTATTGCTTTTGCCCCAAGGTGGCCCTTTTTAACGGACGCGAAATAAATTCTTTGCCAAAAAAATGTTTGAATTTTCATGTTTGTTTTGTTAAATTTTTAATAAATAATTAAAAATCACGCTTTAGGACACTCATTTATTAATTTTTAGGCCCCAAGGTACCCCTTTAAAAATATAAAAAAATTCCTACACCATTTTTAGCAAAAGCCCCAATTTTACCTTTGTTTCAATAGTAGTGGGTAGATTGTTTAACCAAAGTAATAAGGGGAAAATTTTCAAATATTCTAAAAACATTCGGGAAGTACATTTTGAGTTACAATATGCGGTCATTTTGTGCCTATATGCTTGCAAATACAGGGTGGGCCATTTAAAGTTGACCCACTTGATTCTTAAAACAAAAACAAAAAAAGTGGACAATTTTTTTTTATTCCAAAAATCATTTATTTTGGTCCAAGGAAATTTTTTACAAATTATTATTAAAAATGATATCACGTAAATGGGCACCTTTAGCTCTGACAGCCGAATGCATTCTTTTTTCAGCATTTTCCATGACTTTGGTCAATGTTTCAGACGATATGGCGGCTATTTCACTTCTAATGTTGTCTTTTAGTTGACTTAAGGTTTTTGGTTTATTAGCGTATACCTTGGATTTCAAATAACCCCACAAATAAAAGTCTGGTGCCGTCAAATCTGGTGATGTTGGGGGCCAGTCAAAATCACCACTTTTCGATATCAACCGCCCAGGGAACAATGTTCGCAATAAATCGATTGTTGCTCTAGCTGTATGGCAAGTTGCCCCGTCCTGTTGAAACCAGATTTTATCCATTTCACGAATAATAGGCATCAGAAATTCGGTTATCATTGCTCGATAACGCTCACCATTGACGGTTATCGTGGCTCCATCATTGTCTTCGAAAAAATACGGTCCGATGATCATATTCGCGCAAACACCGCACCAAACTGTAACTTTTTGGTCGTAAAGTGGCTGTTCTTCGATTACTTGAGGATTTTCGGTGGCATAAAATCGACAATTTTGCTTATTTACGCCTCCATTCATCAAGAAATGTGCCTCGTCTGACGCACGTTGGGTTAACACAATTGAGAATTTATTTTCAATGTAGAGCTGAACATTTTGAGCGCGTTCCTTTGGAGTGTATTGTTCAATGGTATCAATTGTCTTCGACTGACGCTTCCAACGTGGTATGACATTTGACGATCTGTCGACGCTGTCAAAAGTTACAGGGTTGCCAAATGGGTCAAATTTAAATGGCCCACCCTGTAGGGGAATGTCGTCAGGGTTGGACACGCTTTCGACCCTTGCCCATAATTATCGTTTTAATAAGAATTAAGATCATTTGCGTAAATAGTTTGAAAGGTAAAGGCAAAAGGTATGTCTGACAATGAACATTATGTTGTGAAATGAAAAACATAGAAATGGCGAGTATTTAAAAAAAAAAAAATGTAGTCAGGCTTGGCCACTGTAGTCATGGTTGGACACTTGAATTGCTACTTCAGAAAAGTAGCAATAAAAGAGGACATTATTCATGGATCAGGTGTATTTTATGTCTTTCGACTCTTTTTCATTATGAACAACAAATTTTACAACCAAGTATGAAAAAAAAATTAATCAGATTCGCAATTAGGACAAACAGGACAGCATTATGCAAGTCGACTTTACCTCTTTCCGTCGTTCGCTTGTAGCGTGAACCTCTTCAAAGGGAGAAAATAAATTATTACTCAAAGGATTTATTTTTTTTTACTTTTTTACTAATTAATTTCCTTTTTGTTGAATCAAGTAATTAATTACCAAATTTATTTATTCATCCAACTCATACTTTATGTTTAGAACTTTAATCTATTTCTTTAATTATTATGTAGGTATATTTGTTCACAATATAGAAAAAAAATTATTTCATTGATTGTATTTACATGTTTTGTAGTGAATAACTGTAAAAAACATTGGAAAAATTAAAATATCCTGACAAAAGGGGAAAAACCAAGGGTGTCCAACCTTGACAACAAAAAGTGTCCAACCCTGACAACATGAGTCATAACCAGGGCTAACAGAGTTATGTTCTTAAAAACGTAAAAATATGTATGGATTTATGGACGAAAAAATAGAGAAATATGGACGAAATATGGACGAAAAAGTTGACAAAAAGCCCCGCAGAGCGGTAAAATTGAATTGAAACTATTCGTTTTTTTCGTATTCGTATTTTTTTTCAATCGAAAACAAAACTACGGCGTTTGTCACTCAATATGTGTTTATATGATGAAAATGAACGCTCAACATTGTAAGATGTAACAGAAGCATTTGCATATGCATTCAGTTCAACAGGTGACAAATTCAGGATAAGATCGTCACCTTCTGTAGAACTATCAATGAGATTTCCTCCTAACATTCGCGATATGTCCTGAAGAATAAGAACTGAAAGCATGAAATATGGAATAAAAACTGAATCTTAAAATATAAACTGCATCATAATTGTTACATTCGATGATACATATTTTGATTGATTAACGACGCATCGATGTTTTGTTTACATTATTTATTATCGAGTATAAGGCAAACGACAGAAATTTCATAATATTTGAGCCAAACATATCTTTCTATAGGTTTTCAGACACTTTAATGTTCAAAATATGGATTTATTCAAGTGATTGTGTAAAATATGGATTTATAGGAAAAAATGCGAAAATATGGAAAACAATATTTTTTAATTTAAAAACATAACTCTGTTAGCCCTGGTCATAACCCTACCGCACAACATAACCACCAAATCGTTTTATTTAGAACAAATTTTTTTTTAGGATTTCGTTGAGGGGGAACCACTTAACGTATTTTTAAACTTATCCTGCGGATGGCATATTTTCCGCTGAATTATGCCACTTTTATTGCGCGTTCTCCAATACTTTTGACACTATGTCAACAAAACAGGAAAATTAACAGTTCTGGGATGCGGCTTGGGATGAAAAGTTTCCCACAGTGAAAACAATTAATACCACATTCACACACAGATGGCGATAGTTGGTTTACAGTATAATTCGCTTAACTGCCTCGATGCTTAGCTGCATCGTCAAGATAACTGCCTTATTTCTATTTTTCTGCATTTATGGTCTCATTTGTATGAAATAATTACGTTTGCTGCATTCAAGTTAGCTGCCTTTCGCACTTAAGTGCCTCGTTTCGGCAGAATTTAACTGTCTTATTCTATGAATATCATCCAACTTAACTGCGCCATCTAGGATTCGAATTTGGAAACAACAAATTTATGAGTTTTAATCATGTATCTTTTTTTGTGCATATGGCAACGCTTGCATCTCTTTGCGCATGTCCGTTTTTCGTTTGTTTTGATCGTGCCATTTGTGTGCATAAATCATTCCTAATCGTAAAAATGGGTAAAGTGAAGCGCTTGGTTGGCTTAACTTTAAAAGAAAAGCTCCAAATTATTACGGCTGTCAGCGAAAAAGTTGATAAAAGTGTTCTCTGCACGAAATACAAGTGTGACAGATCAACAATAAACCGTATAATTAAAAATCAAGACGAAATTCAAAATTCATTCTATTTTAGACAG